CACGAGATGAGGCAGGATAAAGAGGGATAATCCCCCTCGATCCCAAATCATTGAGGCCAATTTCTAGCCATAGAATAATGGCGCGCGGCGCGATTTGACGTAGCCGCTAGACATGACAATCCCCTCCTCAGGCAAGCCGTTGACTACGTACCCGACGTGACCGACAAACACAAAAGACCTAGTTTTTGACCCTGGGTGACCACCCCAATGACCCCCCCCCCTGCCCGCTAACCTTCTCTGTTTCAGAGACAGCCAGGATCAAGAAACGAAGACAACGACACACACACACACATATACACACCCCCATACCCTCCTTACCCCTCCCCTCCCGCGCTAGCCTAAGGGCCACCTTAGCAAAGCGCATCCCAGGCTGCATAGCCGCACTACCCTACCCAACCATACCACACATAAACATGACACTACCCCCGGGGTTTACACAGACGAGCCGGCGAAGCAAGAAGAGCGCCAGAAGAACGGGCCCTAGCTGGCGGGGCCCAGCCAGGACAAAAGGAGGTCCCACAAAGCGCCCACACCGGCCGCATTTGCGGTCGGGGTAGGCGACGGATGGGGCCCACCTACGAAGGCTGTCCAGGCCTACATGAGATGAGGCAGGATAAAGAGGGATAATCCCTCTCGATCCCAAATCATTGAGGCCAATTTCTAGCCATGGAATAATGGCGGGGATTAACGTCAAGACGCTCCAGATGTGTTTTGTTCTTTTCTAATTGTATGAGATGAAAAGACAAAGAGATACATCTAGAGCATCTAGATGTTAATACCTCGTCTAGTCTTCCTGATCAAAATCTGTGGTGTCGTAAGTAACGCCAACAAAACAAAAAAATCCCTAATACTTGTCAAAAGCACGTTACCAACAATACCAACTCACAAATCTACTGACAGTGAATTTTCACGAAAAGCTCGTCAGCCACAACAGAAAAATAGAACATGTTCTAATTTCAATTTGAAGGGTGAACACCCAGGGTTTTTTACAAGAAAAGGCCTGAGGTTTTGATAAGTGAGAATCGGCATATAAATTTAGTATTTTTCGTAATTTAGTTCATTGTTAATGCTGTCACTGTCAATGTCAAGTGAGTTATAAAATGTGCTAGGTACAAGTATTCGGCTTTATAAATTTTTGCTATGCTACCTTTACATTCAGTGAAAGTGCAGTCACGAAGCGGAAATGTTTAAGACGGTAGCAGTGATATTAGTTTGTGATCTTTTTCTTCAAGGAAAACAAGATGATGTTTTAAAGAAGTTGTTAACCGAGTTAAGTTACCTGAATTATTTAGTGAAGAAATTTTCAGTTTTACATGAAAATGAGAGAATTGTTACCAATGAACTGAAAACATTATCAAAACAATTCGACATAGTAATTGTTGTAGGCAAATTATCCAATGATATTATTTTTAAAGCACTTGCAAATATAACGTTTCAGGACCGTACAGAAAATACAAAATTCAAAGCAGTGCTGGACAATCTTCAAGAATCTAATAATTATCAATTACCAGTCACCTGTAAACTCCTCACAGGAAATGATTTGGTATATCCTGTTATTCATATGCAAACCATATTTGTTCTGAATGAGATATATATGGAAAACCATTTAAATATACTGAAAAAACGTTTGGCTCAGTATAGATCCGAAACTAAATACAAGAAGACTGTACACATTCAAAAGAATGGAAATACAAGTCAAATTTTAGACAAAATAAAAAATTTGCAAACAAGAATGGTTTGCCAAAATAACAGCAATAAGATTTCTATTACATTAGAAAGTACCAATTTCGATGATATTGTTGAAGTTGAAAAAACAATACAGCGAGAATTCAGTAATAATTTAATTGATTCATATATCATCAACAGTGACCTAGAAAACATTTATGCAGATCCAGATGATCGAATTCAACAGGCAATAGAAGTAAGTAGGAGGTAAGACAAATGCATTTTCATTTTTCATTCTTGTTAAATCATATATAATATTAGTTTAATATTACTTTTTGTGATATTGAAAAACTAAAAACAAAGTTTTCAATATGCCAGAAATACCCAATTAAATATAAAAAAGAACTACAATTTAGTATTTTTGATTTTATATTATTTGTCTATATTAAAAGATTTTTTACAATTTTTTAAACATTTATTTTGTTTATAAAAAATAGCCACCATTATTTAAAATTAACATGATGTGACGTGTATGATATTGTCCATACACAAAAATACATAATTTTTAAGTGAATTTAAGTAATATGTATAGAAGAATTTATTAAAGAAAAATTACGTCAGTTGAGGAGAATTTATACAGAGATAAGGAAATAATAATAATTTCCATTGTATGTTTCTATTACATAATACCTAGGTACCATATCCTTTAACATTAGTATTTCAACAACTTGTCTAATCCAAATATTTTCCTGTTAAAGAATATGCAAATTCCTCATTGCGGTTAAAGGAAATTGTGCATAAATTTTATATATAATTTAAAAACAAAAATGTAAAATTATTATCCATTTATATATATGCCAACTCTTATCTGTGACTTAAAGTAGTGCTAACTCGTGCAATGTGGAATACTCGTTAACTTATCAATACACTTTTAAATTTATAAACATAGAGATAACAATGTTGCATATTTGCATAGTGTATTTTTTTAAAACAGGTGGGAAGTAAAAATACATACATCACCTAAAGAATGTTACATATACTTCAAGGATATAATCTAGAATCCAAATGGTGTCCATTTAACAAATTTGCTTTAACGAAAAATGTTGCAAAAAAAGTTACAGGGTGTTAAAGTTTCTTTTTTTATTTCTTGTTTTCTCCTTAACTCAGAACCCAGTTAACCGATTCGAGCAAAATTTGCCGTTGCTTAGTTTCTCCTCATGAAGTATGCACTGATTATGTTCTTATTAAGTTTAATCAAACAGGGGGTTCATTTTGCTACAACCCTTTGTGAATATTCTTCTGAAACTTTTTTGTACGATTAAATTTTTACACACAACTATCAGAAATAGAGAATTTTATTCAACATAAAAAATGTATACCTATCAAAAGTTGAAATTATGCTCGGTTATGAAGATATTACAGAAAATATTTATTAACACCTACATATTTGTTGGAAATAACTAACTAAAACTTTAACACCATGTAACTTTTTTTGTTGTGTAGGTATATAATCAACTTTTAATATATTGAAAGAAAAAACAAAGTAATACGCAAATTAATATCGCTTCATGCTTGACTAATAGTAATTTTTTTAAAATAGGAAGTACTGTTGGTTAAGTGATGAAAGTATGTCGATGCAATAGGCTATCGACCGATCTTTCACCACTCTTTGAAATGAGTTGCTAATGTGAATATTTCTTTTAAGGTGTCACTGTTAATCTTAGAAAATAAAATGTTTTATGAAACTTGACAAATTAGGTATTCTCGAAGGAATAATTTAACAAAAATTTGCTTTAATACATTTTTTTCTTCTGTTGTAGCAACAAAATATTTGTCAGTTCTAGTTATAAATTATTAAGAAATATGTGATAATTGAAAGTTTTTGACACATTAAAAGTAAATATAAGGGGATTTTGCATTTATAAAGTATTGCTTCAAAAATTGTTAAATACAATCTTAACTTCCAGGTTATAGAGAAAGGCCTAAGAGAGTATGGGCCGCACAATGTATTTTTGAGCTTTAATGGAGGGAAGGATTGTACCGTTTTATTGCATTTAATTTGCACAGTGTTGAAAGCAAAATATCCAAACTGCAAGAGTCCCATTGTCTGTTTGTATGTACGAAGTAAAAATGCATTTCCAGAACAGGATAAATTTATATCACAGTGTCAAACGTATTTTAATTTGGAAGTGATAACTGTGACAGGAAGTATTAAAGAGGCGCTGAATAAAATACTGTTAATGAAACTAAATTTAAAGGCTTGCTTTATGGGGACCAGACGGACAGATCCTTATTCAAGCAACTTAAAAGTTTTTCAGGTAAACTATTTCTGCGTTAACGGAACCGATAGACGAGATTATTTGAATCTTTTCCTTATTGTAGATGTCAGATCGAGATTGGCCTCAAGTAATGAGAATGAGTCCGCTGCTAGATTGGCACTACTCAGACATTTGGGATTACTTACTTTATTACAAAGTTCCATATTGTAAGTTGTACGATATGGGATATACTTCTTTAGGAAATGCTTCAAATACAGTTAGAAATCCCTCTCTGTTATATCATGATATATATCTTGATACTGAGATATACTTGCCAGCATATAAAATGTTAAATGAAAACAAAGAAAGGAGTGGAAGAAACATATGATGTAAAAACATATATTATAGGTGTTTTTAAATAAATAATTTATTGTGGTTTTAAACAATTGTTTTTATTACATTTTTTCTCCTGAAAAATCAATAATCAGCTTTAAAACAAATGTGGTGATTTAACCAGTGCACCAAGACATTTAAAATTTAATTTAAAAAAGCACTGAAATACATAAATCGGGGTAAATTTTAATGCCCGTTTTTTAAATATGGTAAAGAAATTAAATTCAAAATATAATATTCATTATTAAGGGGGAAACCACATCGAAATTCAAGAAATCGGGTTTTTTATTGCATAAATTGTTAGTACAACTATTCAAGAAAGCACTGCCAAAATTCCAAAACGAAATTCCGATTCGTTCCGATTTTATGAGCTTAAAACCAAACGCCCATCGGGTCAGTACTCGGTCGCAAAGCAGGTAAGGCGGAGCGCTTGTTCGGGTAGTCTAGTTACTTATTAAGCAAGAAAAGAATAGACGCAAACTCAGAATGATGCCTATGAGGAAGAATGACTGTTATATGGTACTGGAATCACCGATTCTTTTCTTTATGAAATTACAAAGAACATGAACCAACAATTGGGATGCTATCATTTTAAGAGTATTTTTTATTCAAAATAAGTGAAAAAAAAATGGTGAAAATCAATAGATTTTTCTCACACAGGTGTCAAAACTTGCAATTTTTAAATTTTTTACCAACAATGAGGTTCATATTCTTAGAAATCGTGTTAATAATGCAGGAAAACATCCACTGTGCTTTTAGATTAAATATGCGACTTCTACATTTCCCGTGAACCAGCTCGGACAACAAACTTTGGTGGACAACAGCCCATAACTTTGGCATTTTCCACATAAGTGACTTGAAAAAATTTGTAAATGTAATTCAAAATATCGATAAAATAATGTCAGTTTCATCAAATTTGTCCCACACAAAAAAATTGATGAGAGAAACATTAAAAAAAATAGTAATAAAAATAAATTAAATTTATTTCGTTTAATACAAATTGTTAAATAAATAATAACTATTCATATTTGTAAAAAAGAAAATTTTTTAATAAGCATGTCCTGATTTAAATGTGGACCTTTGAAATAATTAATAAAAAACATTACAAAGTAGGTAGTTCAAATAATTGTTATTAAATAAAATGTTCTATTTGAAAACAATAACCATTAGACATAAAGGACAAGAAGGTCCATATAATCTTGACTTTAACTACAACTTTAGGGGTATTTTGACTCGACATTTATTCAATTAAATCTCTTTATCTGGTAACGATATTCCTATTGCATTTTTTTAAATTTCTACATAAAATTAAAAAATTAATAGATTTTTGTAGAAACTGGCATGAGAGTATTTTGAGGAACATATATCTTTGTGTTATAAGATTTTGATAAAATTCAAATTTTTCAAAAATTGACACCCGAAAAAAATTGTAGCAAGCTTACGGTTTACAATTTTTGGTTTATAGTTTCCCAATATGCGACTTATAGAGTATATTAAATAGAAAATATTTGAAATTCGTTTGTTCATAAGTATGTTAATAATCTATACACATAAATAAGGAACACCCTATATGTCAATTATCATTTTAAATCAAATTGTTGTTATCCTCATTGTAAGCTACATTTGAAATCTTATGAAATAGAAATAGCAGTTCGCCTCACTACAGCACTGAGTAATTCGTTCTTATCAGGTTGTTCTGTCATCACTTTCACCTTAACCCACTGGCGTGTTTGGGACGACTGCCTTATGGCACTGAGAACAGCTTGCACATATAAACCATCCTCGAAATTAGCCGCCGAACAAACTGGCTCCTTAATCCAACCAGCTTTTTCGTTTACTGGAAGAAAAGCTTCTCGCAAAGCAGATACCATTTTGCACAATCCCTTGACTAGTGTTTTAGGTAAAATAGAATTGGGTATGGGACACTGTAAATCTTCCACATCTAAGTAAATGACTTCTTCGTTACCTTTATTTTTTCTTCCAAACAAGTCTCCCCCTCGCACAACCAAATGGCCTGTACTGCTACATACCATACACTCTTGTTGAAATGTAGTTCCTACAGTGTGGCTATTTAAAGTGGCAGTTACTAAAATGCCATTTTCCAGTTCCATTTGAAATGTACAAAAATCTGGGGCAGATATGTTGCGTATTCCATTAATATTTTCAGTATTTTTTGTAAACGTTCGTACTAAGCCGTGGACCTTAACAGCTTTCATTCCTAATAAGTATGTTATCAAATCCACAACATGGCTTCCTATTAAATTTAGGGTTCCACCTCCCATTGTATCATCACATTTCCAATCAAAAACATCAGAATCACTAAACAAACATCCACTTTGAATACGAATGTCAATTAATGTAATTGGGGACAATAAATAATTGTCTTTCAACGCCTTTTTCATATGTGTGAATGCCGGTAAAAATCTGAATGGATGATTAATAAGTGATATTAGTGATGGATAATATTGACCTGCCCTAACCATTTTTAGGGCATCGGCCTGACTTAAACCTGCAGGTTTGTCACAAACAATGTGTTTACCAATTCCTAGAGCTTTAACGGAAATCTGGGCATGCAGATTTGGAGGACATAGTACAAATATTAAGTCTACATCTTTACGCAGCAGAACATCGTCTATTTTGTTCGTAGAAAAAGGAATTCCAAGTTCTTTCGCCGTTTCCTGTGCATCTTGTAGAGTTCTGCTCCAAACGGCCTCTATCTTAAATCCGTTCTCACGTAAAATAGGCACTAATACTTTCACTACCGGCCCAGTTCCAAAGACACCAATACCCGGTAACATTGCGAATAGATATTTTATTTTAACTTTAAAACATATTTATAAGGATGTAAAGAATTGATTTTTTCTAATGACCGAATGACAAATGACAAAATGACATTCACACCGATCCACAACAAGTAGTTCAATGTACCCAAACAAACAAGTAGTTACGATTTAGTAACTGCGTTGAGTAGTCTCCAAGGCACAGATCACAGAAACAATCTCCAAGGTTTTTAAACACTAAACAGCTTAGAAACCTGCAAGAATACATCCAGCGCCGGATTCCGTAATGAGGCTAAAATAAGCCAATTAAAATGATGCTTGTGGGCGGAGTTCCCGCCGTTGTCATTTTACGTGACGTTTAAACTTTTAAACTAACCTAATTTTTCAGGTTTCAGGCAGCTATTTATTATTGATTATTGTTTTCCGATGGTTTTCCTTTGATCTTATCCATCCTCATTTTATAGTCTTTAGCAGTGTCTTTTTGTTTGTTTGCTAAGTTTGCTTACCAAAAGCTTAAGAGTATATCTTAGGTATCGGTGTTTTGTGGAAAATATTAAGTAACGTGTAAATGGAAAACGTTGTGTCTTCCTCGTTAAATGAAGAATTCATTAATGTGAGTACCAAATCAAATTTCTATTTTTGGCGTATAGTAATAAGAACAACTACCTATTATTAAATCTACCAATTTTTTAGTCTGTTTTGCCACCTGGCTGGGGAACAAAAATTATGGAGAAAAAGATTATAGAAGGTGAAGATAAGTTTCCCAACGTCCAGTTGCAATTTTTTGTTAATTGCACGAACAAAGAAGAGTTTGGTAAATGGTTAAGAGAGTTTGAAAACATAACAAATTCATCATACGTTATCAGTAATACGGATATTGAGGATGGAGAACGGATTAAACTTAAAAAGAGACTAAGGTGAAATATTTAATTGATAGATAGGTACCTATACATAATATATCGAATAGGTAGTTTATTAAAAGTATTTACTAAAATTTAAAAAGTTTTATTTAAGGCTCACAATAATATAATATTATAAAGCTTAAATTTAATTTTAGATGTCACCACTTTACTCGGTGCTCAAAAACCTACGAACCATCTTCAAAAAATAAAACGAGAAANGCTTAGAAACCCTGGGTAGTCTCCGCGTGTAAATAATGTTAGTGTCATTCAATCCACGAAACTACAAGGTGATCCGATCCGATTCGTTCAGCTTCTCTATTATACATACCAAACGCTATTTTTCTACCTCTTTTTTAATATTTAAGGTAAAATAGTTAAGTAAACGTATAATAAAACAAAACTAACAGCCTGGGAGAAGTTCAATTGCTAGTTAAACTAGTGCTTTTGATTGTTAATCAATTAACTTAATTATAATTGTTTATTTCAATATTTTAATTACAAAAAAATCCAAATACAGTTTGCAGCTACTTATCTATACCTTTTTTCAATACGTCTAGTTTATTATAGCCTGTTTATGTACCTTTTATGATAAAACTAATGAGTGCATGTCACTGAATTACATATACTTGCGGCGTGTTGAATTTCTATAGTACCTAAGTACCTATTTATAAATATTTGCATATTTATTGTGATATATCAATTTAAGAAGAGGTTTTTTCTAAATAAATTATTATAGATGCAGTGCAAAAAGTTTTTACTTAAATATTCCATATTTATTCATTAAAATTTGCAAATAATGATGTTTATTAAAATTTACATATTAAAATTGTAATGTAAAACTTTTAGCTTTTATCTGAAGACCGGTCGAAAATTTTTTAGATAGATACAGTATAAACGAAGATCCGAAAAAATGTATTTTATACACTACTGACAGACCTTTAAAAATTTGGTTGGTTTATTATGTACCTAAACTACCTTCTTGGAAAAAACTGATTTTCATATTTTTAGTTTCGTGGTTTTGGATTAAAAAAAAATAATTTTTTTTTGTACATATATACCGCAAAAATCGAATAACTCGAAAATAAAATACATTTCTGGAAAATAACAAAAAATTTTTCTCCCAAATAAATTAAATAATCAAAAATCTTCATCAGATTTTTTTTAGTCAGAGTAGAAATTCTACTGAAAAAAAACGAGTTTGCCAACACTACATACTACATAATTAATTTCTCAATTCTCACTAAGTAGGTACATATACCTACTGCAAGTACTGCATATTATGAACCATGCGAAGTATAACAGTACATATAATAAATTATAAGTTTTTCGAAAAAACACTTTAGAAAAAGTTTAAGTAGGTATACAGGGTGTCTCACGGTGACGGCCCATTAGAATTATTTCAGGGACTACTTCGACTTGAATCTTGAAAATTTGGGATACCGGGTTTTCGGGCATTAACTAAAATAATGGCGTCCACATACGGTTATACGGTTATATATGGCGTTCCGGTTATACTGGAAGTCGCCATCAACTTGCTTATTTTAAATGGAACACCCTATATATTATTGCAATTTTGGATTCTACGTGTTATTTTAGGTGTACTTTTATGAAGTTTCCCTATTCCTAAAATTAACCGTTTTCGAGATATTTATTTTTTTTTCAAAAAAATGGAGAGAGAAACAGTGACTAGCTTCAAACCATGTGTATTTTATAGTAAGAAAGATACAACAATATTTATAGGGGGGATAGCTAGACCCCTAAGCTTCCCATCCATACTTTCAAAGTGGCTTAATTGCATAAAGGGTGCTAGAAATTTAATGCCGAGTTTAGTTAACTTTAAACCTTCAAAAGTCGTTTTTATAAATGGAACACCCTGTATGTTTTTCTATATTCTGATACACAATTTTATTCTCTTTCGAACGGTATCAGGGTTCCCTATACTTATCTCTTCTAGTTTTTAAGTTACCTATCTACTATTTTTTGTGTAATAACCTAAAATCGTGTAATTTCTTGCGAGGATAGCTGTGGAATTTTTAGCAAAACTTCAAAACAAACAACTAAACTATCGCCAGTTATTTATTATTATTTATTCACAGACGTTGCAATGGGATTCTAAGCAGAACATTTACAGTTTTTAAAGAGACATCCCAATTTTCCGCCAATGAGTAGAATAAAGTTGAGAAGAATTCTAAAAAATCAACTTCATACATAGTTAATACACAATTTTAATTATGTATGTTGATAATAATAATGCACTAAGATAAAAAATGACTTAAAAAAGTCATAAGTGTTCAATATGACCCCCATTAACAGCTAAGCACTTGTGGATTCTAGAGATAACACCATCAGTCACCGCTCTTGCTATTTCAGCTGCAGGCAATTGATGGAACGCACTTCGTATTCGAGCAATCAAATCCTCTTTTGAAGCAACGGGAGTAGAATAAACTTTTTGCTTTATTACTCCCCAAACATAAAAATCTAATGGAGTGAGGTCGGGAGACGTCACTGGCCAATTCTACGGTCCTAGGCGTCTCATCCATCTATCTTCAAATATTTCAGCTGTCAGCTGTTGATCGATTTGATTGTGACAGTGAGGTGGAGCCCCGCCTAATTGATACCAACACTTCCTTAGTTGCTCTAAAGGTATATCATCTAGAAAATCTGCCACAAGCGTTTGAAAAATATTGAGATATCTGTCGGCATTTAAAATTTCTTCGTAGATATGGTAAGAAATTTGGTTATCTTTAATTAGACAAAAAACATTTACGTTAAATTTATTTTGAAAGTTTCTTTCCCGGATAACATGAGGATTTTCAGATGACCACAAATGAGTATTATGTCTATTAAAAATACTTTCTCTGGTAAATTTTGACTCGTCTGTCCATATAATATGTTGCAAAAATTGTGGATCTTCTTGGTATCGCACTAACTACGTTTCACAAAATTGTACACGTTGCACGGCGTCACCCGGATGAAGAGCAGAAAGTAGCTTAAATTTGTATGGATGCATATCATTAGTTCTTAGCATCCTATGAATGGACGCTCGTGAAATGCCTAAATCATACTCTGCTGCACGAGTTGAGGATTCTGGATGAACATTAAAATAGGCTAGCACATTTATTACATTATCTTCATTTGAAGTTATTCGTTTTGGTAAATTTTTTTCTGCACAAATTCGACCATACTCTAGTTGATTTGCTAAAATTCTTCTTAACTTTTTTCTGCTCATTGGTGGCAAATTTGGATATGTCTCATTAAAAACTGTACATATTCTGCTTATAATCCCATTGCAACTACCGTGAATGAATAATAAATTTAAAATATCAGCATTTGAATATGTATTGTTTTCCATTTCTTATAAACACTAAATTAAATTGTCACTGCAAGAGACTAACAACAAATTGACAGTTTAGTTGTTTGTTTTGAATTTTTGCTAAAAATTCCATAGCTATCCTCGCAAAAATTACATGATTTTAGGTTATTACGCAAAAAATAGTAGATAGGTAACTTAAAAACTAGAAGAGATAGGTATAGGGAACCCTGATACCGTTCGAAAGAGAATAAAATTGTGTATCAGAATATAGAAAAACATACAGGGTGTTCCATTTAAAAAAAAACGACTTATGAAGGTTTTAAATTAACTAACTCGGCATTAAATTTATAGCACCCTGTATGCAATTAAGCCGCACTTTGAAAGTATGGATGGGAAGCTTACGGGTCTAGCTATCCCCACTATAAATATTGTTGCTTTATTTTTCTTACTATAAAATACACATGGTTTGAAGCTAGTCACTGTTTCTCTCCATTTTTTGGAAAAAAATTAAATATCTCGAAAACGGTTAATTTTAGGAATTTTTTAAAATAAGCAAGTTGATGGCGACTTCCGGTATAACCGAAAGTGGTACGTGCACGCCATTATTTTAGTTGAGAAGGGCATGCCCGAAAACCCGGTATCCCAAACTTTCAAAATTCAAATTGAAGTAGTCTCTGAAATAATTCTAATGGGCCGTCACCGTGAGACACCCTGTATATGGTTTCATATACCATCAAAGTTTATTGGTTAATTATTGTACACACTCTATGTAGTGGTGGATATGTCACAAATTATTAAAACAAAAGGTCCAATGAATACTTGTCTAAAGTAGAAATGTTTCCTTTTCGAATTTAATATTGACAAAAATATGTTTAAGTAAGTATTTCTCTTAATTACAAAAGAAATGAAGAGATTTAATTTAAATTTGATAAGGAGCTTTAGTTTTTTATTGTCTACAAATGTACAAGTGGATAGACTTTGCGATTTCACTCTAATTTTTTTATTACATCTTGTTAGGATCAGGATATATCTACAGGCATAATAACAAAATTTTGATTATTAGTCATTATACAAATTATTAAGAAATGAAACCGAAAACACTTGAATTTTTATAAAAAGCCAGTGAAATTTATATCGTACCTATCTAATTGAATAAACTAGATTTGTCAGGGTTAGATATAAAAATCCCAGTTTAATGTAATTATGTGGATTAAGGTCAACTTTATTTGATTACAGATCTATAAAATCTAAAGCAAATCAAGTGATGTTGTGAGTTTTGATTAAGAACAAACTGTTGTACCTGGTTTAAATGGCACTATTCAACTGGACCTCTTCCCCTCTGGCTAATGCTCGGTAAGTACTCTATACCACAAACAATTCACTGAAATGTCCCTGATAGATAATTTAAAAGTAATTATAAAATGATTTTCTTTTTAGTCTGTTGGCAGATTACCTTAAAATGTTATCATCATAGTAAAATTTGTTTGTTTGCTAAATATCTGGTTAGTTTAATTAGTTGATTTTTCTCAAAGTGTACCTAGCGGGGCAGGGGTGTGCACGGCCCGCACCAGAAAAAATATTTAATATTATTATTTTTGTCATATCGGTAAGTCGATGATTGCGCGGCATTTTTTTTTTAGAAACAAATCAAAACGTATTCAAATATATTGGTAAGTCGCTGCTTGCGAATGGAGAGACGGTAAAATATGTAAAGTTCGTCACGAAACATTCAGTGATGTTCGGCTAAAATTTTGGAGAAGCAAAACCGCAAAACCGCGTAAAGAAACTTAAAAGGATGTGTGCCAAATTGATGAGTGAACTTGGATCGTTGATGTTGATTTCAAATGTTAAAAAATAAGTAATAATAGAAACCATATAGCTTTCTATGAAATAAACAAATAAACTCAAACAAAAATGTCATTTCCAATTTTAAAAACAAAAACAGATTGATTTTTTTGAAACGTTAACTGAACTTATTGTCGCGCGTGTTAGAGGTGAGTGTTTTTTTTAATTTTGGCTAATCGTTTTGAAGTAGATTTTTTTATTTGATTGTTTTAATTTTTTTTTTACATTTAGCAAAATACCCAAATACAAAATATATTTTTTTTATTTAATAATTAATTTGTATGCTCTCTGACATCAAAAAATCCAAAATTAAATTCGATTTTTTTTTATTAAAAAGTTTCTTTTTAAGGAAACACCTGAATAAAATTCTCATAGCTTAATCTAACACACCTACAATCATTTCTAAAATCTGTTTTTATTAGAGGTTAACGGCAACAAGCTATACAGGTGTAACCTTAAATGCGGGTCAGTTTTTTTAGGTGTAATATTACGTGTTCCCCTAAACACGAATTTGAAATTATTATTTTTTAATCTAATAAATAGTGGAGTACCTAGTTATAATTAGTTTTTTAAAATGCACTTTAATTCTTTAATTTTGTGAAAGCAGATTAATTTTATTACAACGACTTGTTATTTTAAAGTCACCATATTTTTGTCTATGTTAATGTGGACGAAAAGCCGCCGTTTTGTATGCGGTATGCCTTTGAAGGGCGGAAGAACCGACTGTCCTTGCACCTGTTTAAAATAGGAATGATCGAAAACTGTTGCATTTGGTTTAGTCTTCGACTTTATCGATTTGGGGAAGGTTGTGCATACATTGTCTTTATGTGGAGTAAGTGTATAATGTTATAAAGTTATTCTAGTGTTCAGTGACGATACAGCGAAATTTTGTGTTTTAATTTCAAGTTTTTGTACATTATGAAGAAGCATGTATCAAGAAAGAGTTAATATGGTTAGAGCCTACTTTTTGTTAGGAGCAAAGAAAACGATATCAGATAGGTTACGCCGACTTATAAGTATCGAATAAAAAAATGTTTGTCAGATTGGTTCAACATACAACGACAGCAATAACAGCAACTATAACAACAGCAGCACCCACAACTTCATCAATAACAACAACAGCAGCAACTACAATGGTAGCAGCAATAGTATCAGCAACAGCAACAACAAAAGGAACTCCATCAAAATAACAGTTGCAGCAGTAAGAGCAACAACAAGAGACTGTGGGATCTTTGAACCAGAAATTTTAAACGCCGTGGAAAAGGATCCTGGTATCAGAACTTGAAGATTTGCCACAAAATGTTAAGTGTTATTTTACACAAATCAGGTGAGTAAACAGACTATTTATTTTTGTGTATGTCATTTATCATTGCTAGGTTACTTATTTAAAAGAATTAAACTTTAGTTTGTGTGGGATGGTAGAGCACGTGGCTAACACCCACTCAACAAAAATAACGTGCTAAACCTCACGCCGAGTGGTGTGGAAATTTGCTTTTTAATAACTTTTCTTCTAAAAATAAGATTTGGCAACAATGCACAGCCCAGTTCCTAATTGTACATACTAATCCGGGCGAATTAGACCAAATACATGCCTGTTTCAAAAATCGGGCCTAACTCGAATTTTATGGGCTTAAAATTAAGTAAAAAATATACAGAGCAAAAGCCTAAATTTGTGTATTTGTAGAGGTCGAACGTCATATTGTTTATAACAAAAGAAAAAAAAGAATTGCTCTTTTTTCAGTTTTTCGCTTATATCTCCGAAAATAAGCGTCTAATCTACATGAGGTGTACTTATCGATTTTGTTCCTTCCTGAGGAAATTTGCTACAAGGATAGGCTTTTGCGAAGGCTCGCAATTTTTTTTACACTGCAAAATTAGCGGTGGAAAAAAATATGTGCTAAATTTTCAGAATTAAATAAAAAGAACAAATTTGACTGAAATTGGATGAAACTACAGGAAAAGATAACTGTTGGGGTGCTCAACAAATACCCGCAATCCGGACCCCCAATATCAAAATGGCGGCCTGTTGCAAAAAAATCGCCGCGTTAATAACTTTTTTATTTTGCCACTTAAAAATCTGAAATTTACACAGACGCGAGATAATGTAATTACCTTTCGAATCTTTTCTACAAAATTTCGATATCTTGACTTGGGCAGAAAATATACGAGTTCGCGTTTTTATAATTTTGCAATAGGCCGCCATTTTGAAATTCGGGGTCCGAATTGCGGGAATTTGTTGAGCACCCCAACGGTTATCTTTTCCTCTAGATTCATCCAATTTCAGTCAAATTTGTTCTTTTTATTTAATTCTGAAAATTTAGCACATATTTTTTTTCCCGCGAATTTTGCAATGTAAAAAAAATTTTGCGAGCTTTCGCAAAAGTCTATTCTTGTAGTAAATTTTTTCAGGAACAAAATCGATAAGTATACCTCATGTCGATTAGAGGCTAAATTTCGGAGATATAAGCGAAAAACTGAAAAAAGAGCAATTCTTTTTTTTCTTTTGTTATAAACAATATGACGTTCGACCTCTACATATACACAAATTTAGGCTTTTATTCTGTATATTTTTTACTTAATTTTAAGCCAATAAAATCGAGTTAGGCCTTATTTTTGAAAAAAAAAACCTAATTCGCGCCATATTTTGAAATTACACTAGCTTGTTCAGTGGCGGGGTACGAAAGTTACGAAAATAAAAAAAGGATAAAAAATGTTTCACGTCGAAATTTGAAAAATAAAAATAAACTATTGATACATGTTTCTAAAGGTCAAAGAAAGCCTCTGTAAAAATATGACCTGCACTCAAAGTTACACTCTATATACCCTTTTTCAATTTTTTTTCTCATCGCTCGTGAAAATCGCTTGTTCCAAGGATAATTCGAAACCAAAATAAATTTTCTCGCCTTAATAGGGTCTATTTATAACTAGGTATAATATACTCGTAGTTCTACTTATTTATTTTACAATTTCCATGAAACTGGAGACGTTATTATACGCATTTTGAGTTTTCATTTAAATTCTGGATCTTTTCGTACCTATTTAGAATTCTAGAATTAAATATTTATCAGGTATATGGACTCATTGGATGGTAGAACAATTCATCATATAGGGTGGGATGTGGCACCAGATGATCTAATTCATGTGCCAGAGCACTGGTTAAAATATACCGAACCGGAATATTCACTACATCTTCTTTTAGGATTAGTATACGTTTTCTTCTTTTTCGCTGCGATCGTGGGGAATGGAATAGTGCTATGGATTTTCTCCACGTAAGAAAGTATTTTGGCATTGATTTATTTTATTTTTTAACTTATGTTTTTTGAATAAGGTACCTAGTTTAAAAAATCATTACTTATATTACGATTTTTTCAAGATTTTTTCTTAACAATTGAGCTATTTATTGTTTAAAATTGATGTATTTCCAAATATCTTGGATATTTTTTTCGTAGGGCAAAAAGTTTGCGGACGCCTTCAAATATGTTCGTGGTCAACCTGGCCTTCTGCGACTTCGTGATGATGCTGAAAGCGCCGATTTTCATTTACAATTCGTTTAATCACGGCTTCGCAACGGGTATCCTAGGCTGTCGGATATTTGCGACTATGGGCGCTCTCTCTGGGATAGGGGCTGGTATGACCAACGCGTGCATTGCCTATGACCGCTATACCACCATCACCAGGCCGTTCGACGGTAAATTGACGAAGACCAAGGCGCTCATTATGATAATATTTATCTGGATATATACCATACCCTGGGCTGTGTTGCCGTTGATGGAAGTGTGGGGAAGATTCGTGCCAGGTAAGTTAAAAAAAAGTAACAGGTATTTTAAAAGCACAGAGTTTTAAACACACAAGAGTTTTAAATTCTTCTAAAAATACATAAACGTTATTCACGTTTTATGATCTCATTAAAACTGATAGCTCTATGTTAGAAATTATTTTTTGAAGGAAATTATGTGAACAAATACTTGTTTTATTTCTAGTACGTTTGTATGTTAGCTTAACTAGTAGCAAACTTTTTATATTTTAGAGGGATTTCTGACTGCATGTTCCTTCGACTACTTAACCAGGACTTTCGACATTCGCCTTTTTATTGGATCCATATTTACCTTCTCCTACGTGATTCCCATGAGTATGATCATTTATTTCTACAGTCAAATTGTTAACAAAGTATTCAGTCACGAAAAAGCTCTTAGGGAACAGGTACTGTTTTGACAATTTATTTTTTAATTTGTTTTGCAGTAGCAGCTTTTAGCGCCAAAATAGTTGATATTTAAGGTTGCAGATTCTTTATGAATGAAGAAGTAGCACCAGCTAATCACAGTATCTATTATAAAGCACCTAGTGATACAATGTGCGTTCTAAAGTAAACAGGACTTTTAAAAAATAAGAGCAACAAAAAGTTTTTTTGACAAAACCGATTTATTTTATTCAAAATAGTGCCCTTGCGACTCAATACAGCAATTTACATGGTCCAAAAGCATGTCAAATGAGTGTTTTGGATCGCTGGCCGGGATGTCCTTTAGGTTGTCGGTGTCGGTAGTAGCTTTTGGATGGCTTCTACGTCCACAAGACGCTTTCCTTTCATCGGCAAATGCATTTTTTCGAAAACGCAAAAGTCGCACGGTGCCAAATCAGGCGAATACGGGGAGCGGTCGACAGTCAAAATACGATTTATATAAATTTAAATCGTCACAATTGTCGACCGATGAAATGACGCATTATCGTTCAACAAACGCCAACTTCCTTCTGCGCAATATTCTGGCCAAATACGACGAATACGATGTACCAAACGCTTCAAAACGCCAAGATAGATGGTGCATCAACGGTTTGGAGCGGTTATATGAATTTTTTGTATACAATGCTCTTGGAATCGTAAACGTAAATCAACATTGTCTTTATTTTTGATTTCTCCAAACGAGATATTTTGGGTTTTGACTAGTCTGGCGCCTTCCCCTCGGCACTTTGGCGTTTGGTTTCTGGATCATATTGAAAATACCACGTTTCATCACCAGTCACAATGTTGTAAATAAAGTTTTTGTCATTTTTGGCCTTCGTGATTATGTCCTCCGAATGTTGAATTCTGAGGAATTTTTGGTCGTCAGTCAACTTGTGCGGAACCGAGGGCTCTTTCGCCGAGGCATTTTGGTGTACACATTGCAGGTATTTCGAGGCATTTTCTCGAATTCTGAAGCATTTTGAGACATTTGGAGGTATTTTGTGGTATTTCAGGGCATTTTGAGGCATTTTCTGGAATTTGGAGGAATTTTGGTGCATTTTCGAGGCATTTTGAAGAAAATTTTGTATTTTGCACATGCGCGTAATAGTTTGTCCACGAGGTGCTCGATGAGATGCATTTTATCATTCGACATCAGGGCGTCAGAGTGACCAATTAGGTTCAAGGTGTTGAAAATTGTACCTTAGTGGCATTTTGTTGATTCAAGTCAAGAAACAGGTAAGTAACCACTTATTTATTAGGAAATTATATTCAACATGAATAGCAGCGGCGAAGAAATTGATTTGTTTGAGTATGTATTACAAATTTTATTTTTTAACTGAATTTAAGTGTAACAAAAAAAAAATAAAAAGTTTTCAAAAAGTTTACCTTTATGTCATTGCTCCTTGGTTTCCATTTTTACATACCTAGGTATGTAAAACAAGTCATTTTTCAATTTTTCATATTTTTTAAATATTTTTAAAAAGTCAATATAAAATATATCAGACATGCAGTATAACAAACCCATTTAAAAACTAGCCAAAACATGATATTTTGACCCAAAAATATACAATTAAGTATACCAAATTTCAATACGATGTTCAAAATTATTTAATTATTTTTGAGATTGTATCTTGAAAACACAAGACATTAGACTCACAGGAAAGAATCTTATTATTTTTTTACAGTCCATCCAATATTTGTTGAGACAGAAGTCCAAGAGAAGAATGATCTGGGGCGGCAGGGGCGTCCTTTGAAATTATTCGCGTTATTTTCAGAATATTGTTTTAAAATATACCGAAAAAATGTAAGGGGCGATTCTCCAATGAAAATTAATAGGGATATTTGGTATAAAATTTTTTGAAAAAACTCTCCCCTGAAAAGTTACGCGCCTCCAAAAATTAAAAAAATTTTTTTTTTCTTTTTTGTATTCCATAAGCTAAAACTAATGAAACCAAACTTGGTGAACATTACCCGTTAAAAAAACTGCACTTTTAGAAATTTTTGCAACCCTGAAGTATTTTTGTAAGGGGTTGAAATAATCAACCCCTATGACATTTTTTCTTATATTTTTTTCGATAAAATTTTTTCCTTTTAAAAAATATGTCTAAGAAGCCTTCATTTACTAACTTTTTGATCTCTTCAAGTTTCTTCGAAAAGTTAAGGATTTATGAGAAAAAAAAATAAATGTATTGCAATGCATTTTTAAAAATTAATTATTTCAACCTCTTACAAAAATACTTCAGGGTTGAAAAAAAATCAAAAAGTGTAGTTTTTTTGACAGATATGTTTACCAAGTTTGGTTTCTTTAGCTTGATATACATAGAAGATAAAAAAAATATATTTTTTTAATTTTTGGAGGGGCGTAACTTTTTAGGGGAGAGTTTTTTCAAAAAATGTTACACTCAAGACTCCTACTAATTTTCATCGGAGAATCGCAACTTACATTTTTTCGGTGTTATTTAGATACACCCTGTATATAAAGAAAATATACACGTTAAACACGATAGTCTTCGACTGGCAATTAAATTCCTTTCTTTTATTTTTCTTCTCCATTGATTTATTTTAATAAGAAATTACACTGAAAATGCACAGGGCGATACACTTACGAAGAAACACGCCTTCGTAACTGCAAAACACATTATGCACTGCAAGTTGTTACGCTGAACGCCGCGCCGCTATTGTTTTTCTACCTCGGGTGTTGAACGCGGTTAAATCCAAGAAAGTGACGCAAAGGTCTTCTTGGAATTACATCTCAACAAATATCGTACGGACTGTATATTCTATTACTCCCAAAATGTATGGTCCATTGCTGTGAAACACCCTGTATATTCTTTGATCAGTATCGTGTAGCATTAAATTCTTGTTTTTGGTAAGTATGGTCATTGTAGAAAGTACTATGCAACTTTTTTAAAATTTCGTTTGTTTGAGGGTGATTCAGAACTTATCCAAAAAAATTTTTTTGAATGTACACGGAACTACAAATACAATTTTGTAAAAAATAAATCAAGAAGAGCAGTTCGAGAGCGTTTTAAAAAACCTGACCTTGCGCAAGGCGACCAGTACAACGGCAAATTGAAAAAAAATTCTTTCCAAGAAAAGAAGTAAATAAAATTTTATAACACCTATTTTATATCAAAAAATAATGCAACAAATAATTCAACTGCTTTTGCCGCTATTGTTTTTATTAATTAATAAAATAACATAACTGATGACACTGATGTTACAACTGTTCAAAATTTTGTCCACCGACGTTTGGGTCCGTCCCGTCCCGTCGACTCCGTCTTACCCAGTTTCTACATTTCTACAAACTAACACAAATGTTGTCTGGCTGCACCATAAATTAAAACGATATCCATCAACTCCGAGTTGCTATACGCGCAAGCCATTTTTGACACTTGAAAAACTAATATAAACACTATCGCAAAAATGTTAATACTAAAATTGAATTTCAGTATTCGGTATCGCCTGAGGCCACGTGGAGAGAGAACGTATTGCGTAGAGCGCACAACGCGAATGACCCTAGAGACTACAGTAGTCCAGCGATGTAAGGGTTGTAAATACTACAATAATTTTTTTCTCGGAAACTAAGGATTTTACAATTTTTTTTACGATATTGACTTAATTTTTCATGACGCATCTATTCCTCATTTTTTTTTTGATAAGTTGTGAATCAACCTGTATACTTATTTGTTCCATAAGTTGTTGTTCTTGCTTTATGGGCCTTATACTGTTAAAGCCATGTGATATATGAGTCCCATTAAAAATTATAGAATATTTTAAATAAACGCGCTGTAATTCACAAAGATTCCTGTTCTAGGCAAAAAAAATGAATGTCGAGTCCCTCAGAGCAAACCAATCTCAGCAGTCTGAGTCAGCAGAGCTGAGGATAGCGAAAGCTGCGATAACAATTTGTTTCCTGTTTGTGGCTTCATGGACGCCATACGCCGTCATGGCGTTAATCGGAGGCTTCGGGGATCAATCTCTATTAACCCCAGGCGTGTCGATGATACCTGCCTTAAACTGTAAGCTGGTAGCTTGTATAGATCCCTATGTATATGCCATCAGTCACCCAAAGTACAGGTAATGATCAGTGATAAAAGCGTCGTGTTAAAGCGTTTCGCAGAAGTACCTATCTATTGCATTATTCCGGGAAATCTAGATGGAAACATGTATCTGAATTTACTGGAAACGAACAATTCTCAAAGCGAACGTGATTTTTTATCTTTGTCGTAAAACAAAATTTCGAAAGTAACTTTTCATTATTTTAAATAGTCATTCGAATTGCATAGAAACAAATTGTTTTAGTGTTAAATCATAAAAATTAACGATTAAAAAATTGAAATTGTTATAACTTTTTTATTAAAAATTAAAAAATATATCTATTTTTCTGAAAAGAAAGTTTACATTTTTTAGAGTAGATTGAAAAAAAAATTATAAAGTTAATTCATTTTTCTGCTTGTTATGATTTTTTAAAATTTCTAAAATCATCCCTTAACTTCTAGCCACCCTAACTCTGTTATTTTTAATAGTACAAGAAAAAGTTAATAGACCATTTTTATGTAAAACATTTTTTTCTAGCTCTTACTCCTTTTGAGTAATCTTGAAAAACCCCTTTATTTTATGTTTTTTCTCCCCTGGCCGGGGGTAGAAAAAAAATTACTGTCTTATTGTTATTATACAGGGTGTTTTTGAATGGAGTAGCATAAATGATACCAGTGAATCTACATTTCAATAGAACACGGTCTGCAAAAAATCGCCTTAGTAAAATGTTCACCCCTGAAGACATATGGGCCATCAAACTTTTAAAAAAAATTATGAAAATTGGCTGTAATTTGAAAACCGAACGAGGTACAAATAATAATTTTTTTACAGGTTGTTTACTAATACAGATGCGAGTTTTCAACTATTTTTCGAAAATTTTAACCCCTCGAAAGGGGTTGAAATAACCACCCCTCAAGCCATTTTTTGCCATAACTTTTATA